TCTCACTTCCTCTCTCATTGTTCATTTCCCTTAATTCATTTATTCCATTGCAATGTATCATTCATTATTAATGTGATTATTAACTGCATGGAGACTAATGGCTATAGCCTACAGCAGGTCCATAGTTCACACTACATGTATGTTTATCAACACTGTTTGTTTGGGTTTAGTTTATAAACAATCCACTTGACATCATGAAAGCCTGCAATCACTAGTCAGTGCAATATATTATTACATGGAACACAAAAGATTTTTTTACATGTATATTTAATCTGTAATGTAACTGTACAGATACATGAAAAGACTGCCCAACGGGGAAACAAAACCCATAGAAATATCAAGCATCATTACAGCACATACACAAAGCAAAGAGGCCAACAACAAACAAATTAATGAATGATGCACTACTGGTACTTCAGGCAGCCCAAATGACTTACAAAAAGGAATATATTATAAGCTATGAAGTATGAATACAAAGAGGGAGACATCTTTATTAATCTGTTTCACTCATCCTCATGTCTCCTTTCTCTCTCTCCATTAGATTATTCTCGTGCTATTAAGCGTCTTCCAACCATAAAAGCAGATCATGGGATTCACTTGAGTGCTCTGGTTGATATGGAGGAGACTGATACTGCTCCAGCTCGTAAGGCAGGGGATGAGTGGCAGCTGAGAGGACCATTGACCTACTTACCCAAACCAGAAGAGGTCAGTATTAATTGTAATACACATATTCATTGTGCTTGTTATGTTGGTCATGTTTTCGGTTTAATTTTGTAGCCCCATTGGACTGCTTGTTTAATGAGGGCTCAGTTGTATAAACTTTTTAATTAATTTAATTTATATCTGATAGCTACATGTACAGTATTCAGTCATGCAAATGGAGTTTTGTAATGCATCATTGCTTATTTCATGAATAGCATCTTGAACATTTGCTATTGATGGCTTGTTGCATTCCAATTCTCAAACTATGTACCATTATGATTAGATTCCATTGTTGTACTTACATTGTACATTGTAAGTGCATTATCTTCCTCCTCTACCCTCAGCAAGTAGTAAAGATGGTGTCTCCTATTATAATAACTCCTGGTCATGCTGTTCGTCTCAGAGCTCGTCAAGCCTTCACTGACGCTAAGGGAATGTAAGACTAACCACACCCACTAGTTAATTAATAGTTATTAATAGTTATCGTTGCACTGGTGAGGAGTGGCTGGAGGGATATTGGAGCTTATCTACCTGATGTGTATGAGGAGGTGAGGATTATTGTAGTATAAGATATAGCATGTAGTATGTTGATTCTCATTATTCACATCTTTTCTGTGAATGACGTTTGATTTATAATAATATTCATTGGAT